ATCAAATATGTACACAAGGCTTTCCAGTTTAGTCTTCACATTAGTTTCCAATGCTACAATTCAGTTCCTCTGAACTTTGCCCTTTCACTCGTTTTAGCAAAAAGGCAAACATTTGCCCATTTGTCTCAATAGTAAGTAGAAACTGCTTTCTATACAGATGACGATTTCCTCTCCATTCACATGCTTCTCATCCTAGTATTAGAAGGCCAGCCTGTGTCAGGAAGGGCCTGTTTAAATTAGAAACCAAATAATGTTTCAGGGATGCCTTGGGCTGTCTTGTGGAGAGGGTTCTTCTCAACCCTTGCCAGTTACTACTTGGTGGTCCTGCCAATCCTTGCTAAGTTTCAAAACAAAAGTTGCTCAAGCTCGAGCAGCGCTGTTAGCCCAGAATACGCAGCTGGACAGCTGGTGAGCTGGGACAAAGCAGGGCCCAGTGCTTAACCAGGCACAATTCACCAGACCATGTAAAGGGACAGGGGAGTGGCACTGTCCTAATTGTTAACATTCCTCCTCTGCAAGACTTCTCCTGATATTTATTTAATAAGCCCAGTCTCATAAAGGCTAAACTATTTAGGCCGTCAAGCGGTAGCTGATGTGTACATGGAGATGACATGCAGCCAGACTAAGTGAAGGGTGAAATGCTTAATTTCTGGCTTTGCAAAGCTTTGTCTGGCAATTGCAGATGAAATAATACCTCTGGCAGCTGTGCCCAAGAGTAGGGCATACCTTGTGGGTACCTCAGGAGCTGTACTTCGGGCCAGGTTTGCACAGCTGTAGCTCCTATTTGAGTGTGCATGGCCAGTGTGCTGGAGTGGTCTTCTCAGCCAGAGTGGAGCAGTTTCTGTTGCTGCCAGTGAGTAATCTTCATGAACTCCAGTCTCATGTCTCTTGCCAGTGGCTCCAAAAGTCAAAGATGTGGTATTGCTCTGTTCTCAGAGAGGTGAAAGGCAGGTTCAGCAGAACTGGCTGAAGCATGCCGGTGTTTCCACATCCCAGCAACAAATGTTTGTAAATAGGCAAGCCTTCACATGTAGGAAGGAGTGAGCATCTGGAGACTGCTGTGTATGGAGGTTTGTTCTTTTCTGTGGAGCTGTCGCTGAGTGTTTTAGCATTAAATGGGGAATAAAAAGCATCATTACATTCACTAGCATTTCATTCAGGATTATTTCCAACTTGTAGTGGAGCAGGGACACATGGCAACTGGATGTTAAACTTTCATTGATGGGATGAAGAGGTCTAAGGTTCAAACTGGAAATGGGACTGCTTGGAGTGGATGTGGGACAAGAGAGGAAAAGCTAATTTTGATGAATCTGATCTTCAGCAAAAGTCAGGCGCTGCAAGATGGCTTTTGTTAAAAAGAAAGAACACCAAAATGTGTGATGTTCCTATACTTTCTCAAGAAAAATAAAAGAAGCATTATCTCTGTTTCAACTTGTCTTTAAAATACACAAAGGAAAGGCAGTGCAGAAAAGGAGAATATTTTTGCTGATTGTACTTTCTATGTTCTCTCATTAATAGTCTTTTTCTTCTGAGTGGTCATTTACGTGTTTGATTCAAAGAGATCCAGTCTACATAGTTTTTAAAACTAACTTTATTAATGTTCTTTTGATAATTTCTGCTTATCATCCTAAGGCTTATTTGCCATAACTGCATTGTGAGCTCAGTAAATTGGTTGTTAGTGCATTTGCAAACAGTTCAGCCTGATTACGTTGATCTAAGCACCAATTTTACAACTTTGTCTGTGGTGCCATTACAGAGATTGAGTAAGGAAGCAGGCAGGCACCCTACACATACCTCTCTCTTGGCATGGTGATTTACTGCATCTATCTGCTGCCTTTTACAGCTGTGTGCTGGCTAATGTCCCTGCCTTGCTGGTTAGCTTGTTCCAATCCTGTGATGCTACATCCTTAGTGTGGAATCGGAATCTGACTTTCCCATCAGACTGAAAAGCAGACTGTGGCTTTTCTAAAGTTATTTTCCCACCTTCCTTGTGGTTACCTTGTACTTAGAAAAACAAACTGGTAGGGGTCTTAGTAGGTGGACACAGATGCTTTCCTTTTGACCTACTCCTTTTTGACTAGTTCTTTGACCATTCTCCAAGGCTTTCCTTGTGTTTTGTTTTGACTTGGCCTGACGGCTGAAAGCTTTACTGTAAATTATTACTTTTTACAGTTATGATAGTGGTATTCCACCCTCCCATAGTATCCTCTGACCTGCAGGTATCAGAAAGCACAAAGATATGCCTAAAATGTCATAAAAGAATGCAAATCACATGTAGTTACAAATTAGTTCAGATAAACAATGTAAGCAGAGTGCAGTATCTCAAGGAGAAAGGACAAGCACCACTGATTAGAGTATTTACAGTGAGAAAGGGCTTCTGAGTTAGGTTCCATAGATAATTTCTGATTATGGAGTCAGTGCATTAAAGTAGCATAGAGTAACAACTTGCCATTTTTCTATAAGCTACTAAGATGCAGATATAGATGGAGTCAACTAATAAATAGACAGAATATTCGCTATTGGGATGGAAGTGAATGAGAAAGGGGGGAGGAGTACAGCCACAAGAGTTAAGCATCTTGGATACTCAAAAGCATCTGGCTACGGTGGGTCCAGTGGAGGCTGAATAGTTGATTCTTCTTTGCTTCAGAACAAAAGGAAAAAAGAGCTACGTGGCATCCTGGTTGATACCAGCTTACACTACTTGGTGTGTGAGAGAAAATGGTTTCAGAGCTCTATCATTATCTCCTTTGTTTTCTCACCATCTCATATGTAAGCAGTATAGAAGTATCATCTTTAACCTTGGCTGAAGGTTCATATGTTATTTTTTTTTCAGGTGGAACTTGCAGAAATTTGTACAAAGAGTGAACGTTATATTGGCACAGAAGGTGGAGGAATGGACCAGTCAATCTCCTTTCTGGCAGAAGAAGGAACTGTATGTGGATCTTTGAAATCTAAATTAACAATGTAATATTCATTTATGTAAACAAAAATATCTTCGTATGTATCCAGCAGAAAGACAGGAAACTGGAATACCTTAGTAAGCAGTATAAGCACCATTGGTATGCAAATGAAACGGGATGTGTAAACTTGTGTACAGTTCAGTACAACAAGTGTGAAGGAGTAAGATGATGAAAATGAGAAATGGCGAGAAGGAAGAAAGAAAAGACATGGGGAAAGATGTACTCTAGAAGAGCACCAGGTTCCACGCTATTTGGCTAATTCATCGCTGAACTTAGAATGTTTCCCATATAATTAAATCTGAATGGTCGGTATGCCTTGTATTCAGTGCAAATGGGATAATTATTACAAAAATGCTTTCTTGAAACTTCTTATAACCAAGCAGTTCTAGGAAGTTTTGCCAGGTCCAGTTACAAAGACAATGGAGATTTTTTTTTACCAGTTTTGCTAATTCCAGACAATTCTGTGGCTGGATTCTGATGTAGAAGACATTTAGCTGCCTTAAACTTGGTGACAGAAGGTGGACTAGCAATGATAAACAAGACCTGCCAAGTTATGCATGAGTGCTTGCAGTGGAATTTAGTGGAGTTCATCCACTGTCCCAGAAGATGCACAGGACTGCGACTGCCCAAACCTAAAACCTATCAAAATACTTTTATTGAAATTAATATAGTGTGTCATGACAACCTTTATTTTCCTTATAATTGTGATATTATACCTCTTCTACAGCTTTTGTTCCTTAATGCCTTATCTTGGATGACCTTACACAGAAAATAAGCTATTTCCTGGAATTACACCATTCTTCTAGTTCCATCATGTGGCATGTGTATTTTCAATTTCACATCACCTGTACCTGCTCTACACCTTTCCTTCACACTTTATGCTGTTAATAGTAAGCACACAGCTACATGAATGCTGAAGGAAGCAGCGTATTTTCCTGGCATACACACAGATGATCATGTAAGTGGAGGCTTTTCTGATATATAGAGGTGGTGATCAAAAAGGCAAAGAAAATGTTAGTAAAGAAATTGTGAACAAACCAGAAGATATCCTTGCTTCAGTGTACTTGCAGCTGAATGCAGTTCTTCTGGCCTCCCATCTCAAAAAAATCGAAAAACCACTAGAACGAGAAAAGTGCAGTAAAGGACACTGAGGTTGATCAAAGCTATTTTTTTATGCGAACATTCACTGAACAATTTAGAACTTTTCAGCTTGGAAAATAAGTATCTTTGAGGTGATATTTTGAAGCTCTGTAAAACCCCTGAATGGCTAAGAGAAGGTAAATTGGGAATTCGGTGGTTTTCATAACCAAAGAACTAACAGAAACACAATGACATTAGCAAGCAGCTTGTTAAAAACAAACAAGGAAGTTTGTTGGGTTTTTTTCCCAAAACATCATTGTTAAATTGAGAAATACCGTACATTGTGGAAGGCAAAAGTTTAAAAAGCGTTCAAAAACAAGACCGTCTTGGATACACTGATAGAGCGTTAGCCTGGTTGTAGCTATTAAACATAATAGTCTGGTGTTTCTTCCAGTGTAAGCGTAACTGCTGTAATCTTTGCTTATGGGAAGCTGGAAAGATACACCCCGAAAAAAAGATTGCTTTGATATGTCCTATTTTTATAGTTCCCCTAAATATCCATTTATGGCTACTGTCAGAAACAGGACAATGGACCAGCTTAGTGGTACATTCTGATTTAATGTAGCAGTTCTTAAAGGGTATACTTAAATGTAAGCAGCCTTGTCCGTCTTGATAGTAATTTTGTGACGTGGTCCAGAATCTCAATGGCAGGGAGTAACACACATGCTGTACATAATGTACAAGCAGATTTGTCATTGTTTATTTAGCACTCTAGCTGCTCAGGGAACTCTCTGGGGGTGAACAATGCCAAAACCAGTAAGACGTCCCTGCTTGCAGAGTTACAGTCTATTCTAAGAAGCCAAAGCAGGGCACATGATTTACAACTTATCCCAATGAAAAAACAGATGTGAATTTAATCTCTTGATTACATTACATCCTGAATTATTTAATTAATGGATGCCTAGCTTATTCCATGAAAAGGTCACAAATGCTGGGAACATCTTATGCAGCCTGTGTAAGGCATCTGCGAGGAAAGGCAGTCTCTTATGTCAGAAGGAAGGAGACAGTAACTACGTTTTTATATATAGTTTTAGTTCATTTGTGTTTGATTGTCCATGTGTAACATGATCACTGTCTGCAGTCAGTTGTAAAATTTTGGTACTATTCTGTACCTCAGTGAACTAATCTTTAGTGGAAAATCAGAAAACTTAAGGGGGAGATGGACATTGGTGAAGGGGAAGGGAATGTGAAGCCCCTTGTTTCTACTGGCACGCACATTAGCTTCAGCCAGGCCTGGTACTTTTCTGTAGATCAAAGAAAAACTTGTCTTAAACAGGCAAGAAAAATAGGTTGGGTGGGGTTCTGTGAAATGCTGAGAAAACCCAAAGACTTAATGGAAACATTTTAAAACCCAGCTACAAGGGAAAGGTTTGAAATGTATGTGTAAGTTGGCCAATGAGGTTAAACCTCTTTTCTCGCTGTTTCATGTCAGTTTTCTTTCTTTAACTGTTCCTGGATTTTCAAGAGAAAAAACATGCAAATTTGCGTTTGATTTATAGAACTAAGTGCACTGTTAGCTAGTAGTAAATTAAAACTAACCATTCATTTTTCTTTCAATAGGCCAAGTTGATAGAGTTCAGTCCTCTGAGGGCAACTGATGTTAGACTTCCAAGTGGAGCAGCGTTTGTTATTGCTAACAGTTGTGTTGAAATGAATAAAGCAGCAACTTCTCATTACAATATTAGGGTAATGGAGTGTCGTCTGGCTACAAAGGTAACGTATGGCTTATGTCAAACGCTAATGAAACCTTCATCTAAATATGTGCTTTTTTCCACTTCTGACCAATCGTGTCTAACACCTGGGTAGGTGCTACTTCAAGTAGCATTTTTCTTTGCAGAGCCAGACACCTCCATCTCTGCAGAAACAGCTCCTGCCAAGTTTAGTGGAAGTGCAAGGACTGTGGCCTTATATAGAAGATTATGTGATTTAGTTCTATTGAATTTATTTTGTATTCTATTTCAATAGAGGAAATAAGACTTATTTTTCAGCAAAAAATATTCTCAGTTAATAAGATGGGACTGTTTCTAATTAAATCTGAATAATGACAAATAATGGAAAGCAACCAGTATGGTCACGTGTTTATATGTATATGTGGCGATAGATGTATATTTTCTAGGATTTAGAGGACATCAAAGCTACTAGTTGGAGGCCTGGAAGTAGTATTGGAAATGCTGAAGAGCGGCATGGATGTCAGTGTGCAGTTTAAAAACAGGCTTGAAGCGAACCCCAACATTTAGGTTGTACTGCCAGTTTACAGCTTGCAATTATCTCTAAAATGTATGGAATTTGAACATGAAAAATCTAAATTCCACTTCCATTCTGGATTTTGTAGACCATATGTTTAGGAATATGTAGATGTATGGTTTGATTTGAGTTTATTATAGGAATACAATGGATTTTTCTTCTATTAGATTACGTGAAAAGCATAAAGATTCACTGCAGTTATACCAAACAGTGTGCTGGGTGAAGAACAGAATTTGGGTCACAAAGTCTTGATGAAAGTTTTAAAAACTGCAGCATGGAACTCTTGGCCACAAAACATTTGGCCAATATCTGAGCAATACTCAAAAGTACTTTGAGCATCTATTGGCATCATAATTCTATAAAAAATTTTTTTTAGGTAATGCTAAAAAAACAAATGTTGAAGAGATGATCAGATACTGTTGAAAAGCAATATAAAATTCTGTGCTGAGATATTTTTTGAAGAGGGAAGCTAAACTTGAGATGACTTTTTAAATGGGCTTTAAACTCAGGTATAAAGAACATAGCTGCATTTGAGGTGTATAAAAGATATGGTAAAAATAATAGCACCAATGACCGTAGTTAAAGCTATCGTCACTGAAAAATAAATAATAAACTAATGAAAAGATTTTTATGCCATTAAGAAAATCAAGATAAGGACCCGTCTTTGTATTAGTGCTGGTATAGCTGATAAACCTCTAATTTAGGATAGTTAATTGACTAAATGCGTGTTTTAGGAAGAGCTTCCTTTGGAATTTTTTTTTTTTTGCATAAGAAACAAGAAAGCCTTCACAGATGATCTGTTTTAAAAGGCAAACTACAAGTGCATTAAGTTGTACAACTTTTTGAAGTATGGTTCCATACACCAGATTGTGTGACGTGAATCACCATTTTCTAATTTTCTTTAAATTATTGGTTCTGTGCAGGAAACTAACAGGTGGTAAGGAAAAATGATTTTTTTTAATGTTCCTCTTAGCTATGATGCATTCTCTAAAAGCTACCTTTAGCAGATGCTTGATTTTAAGGACATGAACAGCATACACCTGTCTATTTTTAAACATGTGCTACCCAGATGGAAAGTTGCACATGCTATAAAAATATGTTGAGCCACAAAAAGACTGTCTTTAGGAACAGGTTACAGTGGGGTGAAGGAGGGCAGGTCTGTAAACGGTAGCAGGGAAGTCTTTTAAACACTGTAAAGGTGGTGGAACCATGCTAGGCCTTGCAGTAATGCTTTAAAATAAATTATCATTGGGAAGTGCCTTAGGATAGGCTTTTTTCTCCCTTTCTGCTTTAGGTCATTCTAGAATTTCATACTGTTTGCACAAAGTTCCATGTAGGTAAAGATGCCAACATAACATATCCCTGCTGGCATTAGTTTAGAATGTTTTGATGTCAGTCTGTCCCTACAGCAAGTAAGCTCTTGATCATCCTCACAGAATTATCTTCCTCGGGTTCTGTTCCTTTCCCTTCCCTTCTGGAGAGTCATTCTTTTGCTTGTTGGTGGTTTGGGTTTTGGTTTTTTTTTTCTTTCTCTATTCTTGTTGTAGCCTCTAAGTGCTTTCCTGTACTGTATTAAACAGTATGTTTAAAGACACTTATGTTCTGCAGAACGCTCGCAATTCCAAAGGAAATTAACTTGTACTTTATACTTCAGAAGACTCACACAGTAGGTGCTGCAGGATGAATATGAGCATTAGTGAATGCTTTGCTCTCTCCTGCTTCACCACGTGTGGTTCGCTTCTCTGTCAGCTGTAGAGTAGTTCCAAGAATGTCTGAAACTGGAGTGCCATGTGGTTATCAACTCGTGTTTGTTAAATGTGCAAAGCTGCTCAGGTGACATTATAGAAATGTAAAGTGTAAGAAGGTGATGTTGCTCTATAAGGGCTAAGTATTCCTAGACCTACTCCTAGTCATACTTTCTTTTATTTATATTTGTCCCATCATTGACTAAATATGTTTTCCCCTCAGTTACTTACAGTTCTCCGGTGTGCCTGTGTTGAACGATAAAGGACAATAAAGCGTACAGATGCTATGGCCTGGCAGTTGAGAGCCAGCTGCATGATGTCTACATCTTTAATCCATCTAGTCAGAGATCATCAAGAAAATATCCAACTGTGGGATCAGTATTTGGCTTACTTTTGTACATTAAAGAGATGGGATTTTTTCCCCACTTCTGCGTCCATTACAATTTGAGCCGCTGCAGCTAGGCTATTTTCAAAAAACCATTTCTGTTTGCCCATAATGTTTTTCCCAATGCTGTTAGAATTGGAACTTTGCTATAAGCAGTACATATAAGCTTTCCAACAAAGCCCTGCCCACTGGCCTGACGGGGTCAGTTCCCATTTGGGACATTTGACCTATAAAACCCCGGTGTAGTTAGCTCATCTGAAATACAGCATCTCCCTTGAAGTACAGAAATGGTAACAGATGTGACACATGACATGTTTCTACAGAGGATTATTTATTAAAAAAGGAAGTAGAAAAAATTTTGTTGCCTTATAGAACATAATTTTTTTGTAAATTCTTAGTTCTGTTTAACTTCTGATAATAAAGTCTAGGAGATGCTGAACATTAGGATTAAAGTATGAGGCAAAAAATTTCCATTCATTTAGCACCTTGAAGCAGATTTAAGAACGTCACAAACATGCACCAGTGTAAGAGATATTGAGTATTTATGTAAAACAAATGAAGCAATAATGGTTATTCTAACTTACCAATAAGTAAGCTGAGATACAATGACATAAAGGCTGTGGAGTTCTAGGTAGTCAGAGCATTTGAAAAGCAGGCCAGAAGTGACTTTACCACTCTTATACAAGAAAATTTTCTCACCCTGATTTCTGCATTAGCCACTAGACAGTGCTGCTTCTTTCTCTACCACTGAACATACAAAACCTGTGTTTTAGATGGCGACAGAGTCATATGGTTAGGATTTTGATTGGATTTTGTTTTTTCTGCTCTACTAAGCCTCACATAAATCTTAGCAAGTCACTAGGTGGCACCAAAAGTAGTTAATTTTTGTATACTGTAACAAAGCAAAACTGTAAGAGCCCCTGCAAAAGCACTGTTGAGGAGAGCAGGAGGGTTGAGAATCTATAAGCAGATAGTTGGGCAGCAGATCTTCTGCTTAAATTTCATGCTGTAAATTTGCACAAAGTAAAGCAAATATTTTCCAGACATGTATGCAAAATCCCATGATTATTTTAACCTAGGAAGTTAGATGGCTTTGCTGAATTGAGACAAAAATGATTTCAAACCAATCTCACTCAGAAACAGTGTTTATTGAAAAGAATAACAAAGCATGCTGGGTGAAATCTTGGCCATGTTGATTAGAGGTTTTAAGATTGATTTGAATAGGAAAAAGATTTTGTTCCCTGGTCTTGCTGCACTGGTTTAAATTCTCTGCAAACATACAGCCTGATCTGGCATACTTGGAAGCTTTAATCTCAGTTTAAGTGGTGCAGAACTGGAAGTATGTCAGGTGCTTATGAATACAGTAAAATGACATTGGTATGTACCTGCTAATCTATGTCTTACTATGTAGTAGCCTGTTGAAAGTAAAGGTGGTATATCAGTAGGATCACACAATGACCACTTAATATTCTGCTGTAATTCATTACATTAAAAATGTTCCACCTTATGAGGATGGCTGCTTTACTCAACCATTTTCATTAGGTGACCTTCCAGAGAAAAGTCTATTTCACATATTTCCTTTCAGGATACTGGCCTGTTGGAGTAACTGCTGTCTGTTGCCAAAACATTACAAAGATACACAAAGCATGACGTCATTGTCTGGAGTGGGAAAAAGAGATAAGTCTAGAACTGATTAGCATCATAGCAGTCATATAGGAGCAGAGCAGATTCTGACTAACACATCGTAACCTTCCTGTAAGGCTTGAAACTTTCTTTAAGTTGGATGTTAAAAGAACATACTTTAAATTTACTTTAAACTCCAGAGATCGAGAAAGGTTATGATTAATTCTCCTGCACAAATCTTATGCCCATTGTCATATTTTTAAGGCTATTATAAGAAGGCTTTTAATGACAACCTCGAATTTCATCAGAAAACTCCAGGAGCATACTGGAAAAGTCAAACTGAGTTTTAAATGTTAGAGCAAATTTTAACTACAGAAGAAGACTTCTTAGGGACTTTTAGTGTTACAGTATCGTAGCATTTGTATAAGCAATTGTCTGAATGTGATTGTAAAAGGTTACAAGCGCTTGAAGTAACATCCGTGGAAAAGGAAAAATCACTTACTTGATATCACATAAATAATGCCAGTAGGGCTTTTACAGACAATATCTGATTTGAGGGAAGAATATCTATCATTCACAGACCCTTTATAAATAAACACAATGACTATATATATGGTTATATGATAAGCCAATTGCATTCTGGGCTGCATCAAAAGAAGTGTGGCCAGCAGATCAAGGGAGGTGATTCTGCCCCTGTACTCTGCTCTGGTGAGATCCCACTTGGAGTGCTGCATCCAGCTCTGGAGCCCCCGACACAAGAAAGACACGGAGCTGCTGGAGCGAGTCCAGAGGAGGGCCATGAAGATGATCAGAGGGTTGGAACACCTTTCCTACAAGGACAGGCTGAGAGAGTTGGGGTTGTTCAACCTGGAAAGGAGAAGGCTCCTGGGAGGCCTTGTAGCTGCCTTCCAGTACCTGAAGGAGGCCTGCAAGAAGGCTGGGGAGGGGCTTTTTACAAGGGCCTGCAGTGGTAGGATGAGGGGTGATGGCTGGAAGCTGGGAGAGGGCAGGTTTAGGCTAGATACAAAGAAGAAGGTCTTCACCCTGAGGGTGGTGAGACACTGGAACACGTTGCCTAAGGAAGCTATGGATGTTCCATCCCTGGCTGTGTTCAAGACCAGGTTGGATGGAGCCTTGAGCAACCTGGTCTAGTGGGAGATGTCCATGCCATGGTAGGGGGGTTGGAACTGGATGATCTTTGAGGTCCCTTCCAACCCAAACCATTCCGTGATTCTATGATTATCTGCTGTGTACTGATAGAAAGTACCTTCTGATGTTTCCCAATTAAGAAGTGAAAAGAGCAAATGGGTCTTAAAGGTGCTTATGGACAATTAGTGTTAAACAGGAAGGCACAATATTTTCTGTTTGTTTTTTTTTTAATTTTAGCTTCTCTCAAAGTCAAAAGGCTTGGACTGGAAAAAAATGTTGAGACTCCATGATGTGCAAAGCAAGCTAGGAGTTAGCCTAGAGGAAATGCTGACCATTGTCGAGGAGGTATTACATCCTGAGCCTTACAGCACAGAGGAAATTTGTAAATGCCTGGGAATTAGCCTGGAGGAGCTCCGCTCTCAGATCCTTAGTCAAAACACGCAAGACGGTAAGCATATATGAAATGGTGGGGTTTAGTGTACAATGTTTGTATTATATAAAAAGTTTTATCTATTAGTAAGTAGTGCAAGTAGAAGTCTTACAGAATACTTCCCCAGGATCTTAGGTAGCAAGTGGGAGAACTGATATAATGATTTTCATTCTAACTTTTAACTTGAAATAGAGCAAAACTTTGGTTTCGATTGAACTGTTTCTAAAATGGTACAAATAGCAGATCACTTCCTATTTTAGATCAGCCTGTGCTGTTTGAGAGTCATCTCTAAATAACCTAGGTTTTATTCTAGGGAAAAGTCTAAACTAGGATTCCTTTTTAGGCAATAGCTCTAACAAACCCAAACATTTTGGATGGTTACAACATCATTAAAATGAATCCTGTTTGCTCTCCCTTAACTGGTGTTAAAGACGAGCATAGATGGAGCTTGTGTTTCTGTTTGTGAATTGGTAAATACATGGTTACTTCCTAAAACATGCACTGGGCAGCAAGTCATCTAGGGCTCTCCTGAGAAGAGTTTCTTTCACTACCAACATTTTTCTTTTAGGAAAATGTTGGTGGAGGTGAACAATTTACTATTTAAAATATTTCCAGTGTATTACTGCTTATGATTAGACTATGCAGTCATGAGCATTGGCACACATGGAATGGATCCTGGATGCATATAGTAGGGTTGCTAATAATACTGAGTAATTTATGAAATAATTAATTTGCATTCATAACAGATTTCCAGTTGAGATCAGAATCTTTCTTTAGGAACTTAAAATAATCCTTATTTCCTTGTTTCCACTCTGTAGCCTTAATACCTCTGCTGGTTTACAGCTGAATTATATCCTTGCCAGTCCTTCCTAAGACTGCTTTCGGGGACATGTATATTTGATGTATATAAATCAGTAACATGTCTATGTATACTGATGTTATATTTAAATAATCTGTATATCTGGAATGATTGCAAACTTTATCTATTGACCAAGGACCAGGTCCTGAATCTATAACCTGTTTTGCACCCCAGCACTATCACAGAATATGAAATGATCTTACTGCCTAATTACACTGCCAGAGGGTATCAGGATAGAATACAATATCTTAATCCAGCTCTTTATCTCTGTAAACAGAGCTATGGTAACTCTGTGCTGTATGTACATGAGGAATATACCGAACCATGTACCTGCACTCTGCAACATATTCGTGGGAAAGAAGGTTGTAAATGTTTTACACTGTCCCCTTACTCTCCACTTCATAAGGCAATACAAGACTATTAACTAACAGAAGTTCATACTCCTTATACCTGGTTTATAAAACAAAATTCTGCAGTTCTGTGGAACTGAATTGTTTATACAGGTTATTTTGATTTATTTTTTTCAAAAACAAAAGTCTGGATAAAAAATTGAAACATAAAAGCTATAGAAGAAACTCAAAGGAAATTTCATACTGTGGCTCTGAATAGCATTTGCAGATGTTTGCTGAACAGAATCTCTTAAACTTGCATGACCATGATTTCATTTGATAAGGCCAATTAAAATGGGTTATGGTGAAAGGCTCTTTACATGTACAATATAAAATTAAATAACAGATTTCTGTAAAACTATATGCAAAGAAGAAACAAGACAGACACAGAATGAAGGAATCTAAATCCACTGTTTGTTTTTGTTACACACTAAACAAATTACATTTTATGTTGGCTTTAGAAAACCAGAGGCTGTTTGACAAAAACATTTTTCTTATTTCCCCTCTACTTTCCCACTATATTTTAATGACAATGCCTGGCTTCTTCATGTGAGAGAGAACATACAGACAAATAAGTAAACTCTGCAGAGAATTTCAGAATGTTGTTGAACTTCTTTGTTCGATATGAAGAAAGAACCGTAATGTTTAGGGTATCTTTCTGCCTTTGTGCACGTTTCAGCAACTTTTCTGATAAAATACTGTAATGTTGAGGGTAAACTATTTGTATGAAATTGCTATTTAGATAATTTACTGGATACTGAGTTTTCTCCGTGGCTGAATGTAAATTGTCAGTAGTTTTATTTATTTGTATTATTCCAAGCCCGGTGGTAGTTACAAATAATGTTTTGTACCAGCATTGTAGCTCATGTTCAAGCATCTGAAAGCACTATGTAAATATTATTTTAGCCTTAAGTCCAGCTTCCCCTCCTCTACAACTCCAGTGATGGTACTGTATACTTACATTAAGTTTTATAAGTGTATAAGACTGACCAGGTAAAAACTCCGCATCCCAAAGAAAAATGGTATGGACAGGCTTGGGGCAAGTCCCAGGCCAGGTCTGGAAGCACACAGCATCTTTGCATCTCATTTATAGGCAGGTACTCAGGGGTTCTGCAGTTCCCCAGTGTACAGGCCACTTGTTCCCTGGGTTTGGAGAAGTACAGATGGTGCACAAAGCCTCTCTAAACTTCTTGCAGTTGTTCCTTGGCCAATTCAAAATCCTGAATTTAAATCTCCTTTGCAAATGTTTACACATGGATTGCACTTGTGGCTTCTGAACATCTCTAGAAAAATAATATTTATTACTTTTAAGGTGCACTGTGCCATAATTTTGGCTTGGACTGGAGTGCTTCGCAGAACATTTAGTGTGTGGTGATTGTGGGACATTAAGTATTTATGAGCTTCACCACAAAAGGATATTCTCCTGTAAAACAGTGTATTCTTTTAACCATTAAATATTCTTTTCCTTCTTAAATGAGGTATTTTTAAACCCATTTTTTCCTTTTCATGTATAAAATTGTAATCTAATTTTGACATTTAAACCTGGGAATGAAATCGCCACGGGAGGAGCAGGCATCCATTTGCTGTGTGGATTTGGCTGTTTAATGGCCCTCCTATTTGTCCCCCAGAAAGAGAATTCTAAATCTGTGCTGTAGCTTGAATGAGTGATGCTTGAATCGCCTTTCATTCCTGATTGTATTAATGGTGATCTCAGTGCAAGAAGAGTTTCAACTTTATTTGCACAGACAGGCGTACGTGAAGGTGGACTCTCAGATGTTCTGTCGGGCTGCTCTAGGATACCTAAAGCTTTGTGGTGTGCATGAGTAGCCTGCACTTGTCTGACATGAACAGAAGTTGCCTCCAAACTGGTAGACCTACAAGCACTTCCCAGCTTGAGGGTCCAGGTGCCTGCTCCAGCCTCAGCCTGATCCATGTCATGGAGAAATTCAGGAATGTACCATCCACTTCCACAAAACCATGGTTTACTTGGGATGAGCCCCAGAGAGGTGGCCGCTGCAGGCAGCTCCCATACAGTACCTGGAGAATGCAGGCCTTTGGGGCGTGCCATGGGTTAGGCACAGGCACTGAAGGGTCTGGGTTCGTTGCAAAAGCCTCGTTGAAGCTAGCATTCCTCTGAAGGAAAAATCACTTTAAGCCAGTAGTTACCATCATCTCAAAGCAGGTGTCTGCTCAGTGGGTCGCTGAATCTAGCAATGACTCGTCCCCTGGTTTATTTTCAGAAAGCCAGATTGCAAACAGTTACTTGAGCAGTCCCAGCAGAGTAACTGTTCCCCACTTCGAGTAGGGGGTTCACAATCTGGCTCAAATTAAAGCCATCTGGCAGCATTTTCTTATATACATTATGAGCCAGAAACGTTCACCCTCATCATGTTCAATCAGCAGGATGCCTAACAGAGAAGGGTACTATTCCACATGAGTAATGGTGGTCAAAACTGTCCCCTACATGATTTCGCGTCAGTGAGTTTTTCCTGTTGTAAATTTCTAACAGTCCCATCAGCCATGTGTAGCTCATTAATCTACAGTGAAACATATCTGAAGAGGCTGCCAAAGCAACTAAAAAAAAATATATAGCCTGAAGAGGTTGGTCTTTAGCTAAAGGTCAGATAGAATTGTACAGGAAGCCTCTAAAGAAAGGAATCTGCTAAAGCTGAAGTTGTAACAAATAATACGAGTTGCTGAGAAGCCACAACATTTAATTATAGAGAAAAAAAATCCCTGTAAATGGAGTGGACAGGTTTGCACAATTTTTGTAAAGCTAAAATTAAAAATATGACCTTATAGTTGAAAACACACAGTAAACTTCTCTCTTACATTTAATTAACCCACAGTTATTTGGGACTACTAGCCTGGGATTTTCATTTGTTTTAAAGAGATTTATATGGATTTTGGACAAGCTTTCATTAATGTTAGTCTGCTGTGTCTTAAGGTTCTTGCTGTAGTGTGAGCTGTGAGTGCACTGGAAAATGTCACCATTTCTTTCAAGAGCATTTGGTGGTTTGTAAGTGAATTAATCTACCTGCTCATGGATGACATTACAGAAATCCTCTGCAGAGGAGCAGAGCTAGGGTGCAGAGAATCCACGAAGGGTCAGCAAGAGTTACTGGCATTCTCTGAAAAATAGATAAGGACTGGTAATACAAAGCAGTTAACAGTGGAGGAGGTTCCTGGTAGAAGATTCACTGTGTCCTCTTTGAAACTTCAGAAACACGGTTAGTGAGGCTGTGACCTGGAAGGTGGACTAGCTGCTCCGATAGCAGGCTAAATACAGATGAAATGTGTTAAAAAACTTAGTGACAAAATGCCACTAGGAGCAGACCTGGCTATAGGATTCCTTGTCCTCAAAGTTTTCTTTGTTCTCATTTGCCTTTTCAGGTTTACTTCTGATCTGTATCTGTTTCAATCCATAAAAGGCATCGCTCACCCGCACTTGAGTCCGCAAGAAACTTATTCTGTGTGCAGCTGATAGCATACAAAATAAATCCCAGCCTCCGTACTGTCCTTTCAGAAAGGGACAGAAGAGACCCTGAGATTCTGAGCGTGCAAGTGTGTCTAGGTCTGAGGTCAGACAGTTCATTCCTGCATGGCGGTGAGCTATGCAGAACGTGGCAGAGAGGAAATGTGTAGTGATTTTCAAAGAACAGTTTTTGAGAGCACGATTCTGGTCAGAGACCAGATCCTCAGCTGATACAAATCTCCATCAGTCCAAATGATGCTACATCATTTTAAGCAGGCAGAGCACCCGAACTGGGTATTGCACGGGTCCCCTTATGAAGAAACAGGACTTTAGACATGCCCTAGACCATTACTCATCCATCAGCATGGCAGACAGCGATTTCATTGCACTAGGGGTTTTAGTTTCCTGTCTAGTCACCAGAGAAATGGGTCCCACAGGGCAGTCTGGGTCTCGGGTGCGATAAACGGTTCCCTAACCTGCCCTTTTCACTGACAGACGATGGAGCTGAGGGTACCTAGACTCCTAATTTGGAAAGAAATTTAAGTGGGAGAAACCAGGCCTTTATAGCTTACTGGGCTAGGAAAGTATATTTACATTTTCAGTCAGATTAAGTACCTAATTTCCGTACACTATAATAGATTTAAGGATCCGCATGGTTTTAAGAATCTGGCAGTAGTTCCCCAAACCCTGCTTTTTTGCTTTCCTTTGAGCACTGAGGGGGTGAGACCATATAACCCAGTCCTGTGCAACACTGGAAGGCTTACTCTGAGGGTTCAGTTTTTCCTCTTTGAGAGCACACCAGCCCTAGCTCAGATAGAAATTAATCAGTTGTGCGCTCTTCGGGTTGGTTTCTTTTAACCGTGACAGAGTATGGCTTAGGAAATCAGTCCTTCTAAATTGTAAAAAATGTGGCTGCCTGAAGCAGGCAGATTCCGATCAGTTTCTGTACTCTTCTAATATCACAGCTTTCGTTGCTGTTCAGCATGTCCTATTCATTTAGATTTTATTTATGTGGAGCTAATATACAGGCCGTGATAGAGCAAGGCGGTTCCAACGTAGATGTAATTTTTTGAAATACCGTGTGTGCTCTGCCATTTTTTATTATCTAGAGGTGGCTAGTTGGACTGCCCGTCCAAACAGCAGAGATACAACAGGGTTTCGGTATTACCAGAGGCATCTGGTGTAGAAAGCCGAGAACACGTGAATCATTTCATTATTTTAGCATAGGACTTACAGAGTACAGAGGTGTTTGCTGTCCTGAAGATAATTTTACCTGAACAGGACACTGCCAGAGAGGAGAAACAAACTATAAAAAAATTTTTTAAACACAAATGTAATTTTCTGAAACGAAAAGCTGCCCAAACCCACCAATAGCTAACGTCATGGTACCAACCCTTAACTGATACCAGTTGGGTAAATGTCCACGCAGGAGTCTGACAATAGCATACAGCCACGCTGTCTCACGTGAGAACTGGCTGGAAGGATTGCTGTCGTGTCAAGAGAAAGCTGGTGTCAAGGTAGCAGACTCTGCCCTCGTGGGGGGAGAGCGGCTCTCCTGGGAGCGAGCGCTGTCAGGGACACAGCTCCGCTCTTCTGGCTGGCAGCCAGTAGCCGGAGCGCCCGTTCCTGGTGGCCAATTCATAACATGACGAGCACGGCACAACCCCAGAGACTTTAAAGGTAATCCGGCCAGTAGAGCATTGCTCTACCAAAGGGTGGTCTCCAAATCAATCACAGCCTTTGGCAAGTCTGTTGCCTTACAATTGAAACCAGACATGTTTTCAGTTCATTCTTTGGGTTACTACTGTTCAATGGTGATTTACAAGAGAGTGTGAGCTATGGCAATCTCTCACGCAACTTTAGATATTCCCTAAACAAATGCACATTTAGAAATCTCCTTGCTCTAAAACAATGGCTCATAAGAAAAGAATATTTAAAGAGAAACCATCCTTAAAAATAGGCCAAGCTGCCTTCAACGTTCAAAAATACTGAGGCATTGCTCTGGAAAACACAGCACAAGTAACTCCAGCAGCAACAAAATCCAGTGGAGTAAAACACACCTCTAAATGGGAAACCCAAATATGCTCTTCCTGTGTGATACTCTCAAGATGATGTTTCGGGGTGGGGGGGGCACTCAATTTTCTCATTTCTGTCCTAGCTTGAAATGCATTCAGAAGGCCTGTTCAACAGACAGCAATGCAGGGTTTCTCAGTAGCAGGCTGTATTGAATTACAAAATAAATATCACCAGAAGCAATATCACTAGTAGCAAAACACTGCTATGGTCAATGTTTCTCTCTCATTTCAGACTGTCTTGCTCAGCACTGTATTTTCAACACTTAGAGTTGTGATTTACACTTACTCTGGAGAAATAAAAAGGGATTATACAGGTGCTGATGAAATTTTAGTCTGTAAGGGTTGCAATCTGGAGCATACAAGTGAGAGACAATACTGGACATAATTTTATTTCCAGTCTTTCAAGGAAGATTTCTGCATATACTTGCAAACGTAGATTGCTGAAATCATCAGAAGTGGTTCCAGAACTTGGCTGTCTTCATAGAACAGCCAGGCAGGAACTCCATGTGTCTGGGTGAGATAACGAGTTCTGTTTTGAATACAGGGCTTGTGTCTCTTCTCCTTTTACCTCTGTTTGAGTGTTTACCTCTGTTTCAGCCATTTTAGAAAGCAAGAGACACCAGAAGCTGAAATGAGAAGAGAGACCTTGCTGTAAAGGAGGATTTACACGTAGAAAGAAAATGAGGGATGCTCTGAGGTGCTCTAACAAAAGTGTGCTTGAGTTGTGATGAAATAAGGAAACATACTGCAGTAGGTGCTCCACATAAAGTCTGCTTACCTATTATTTACCACCCAAAAAGCTCAAGTAAACCCATTTAATCATAAATTAAATTATGTCATACATGCTGCTGGTGAACAATACTTCCTCAATAGCAGCCATGGTGGTAAAGCAGACAGAACTGTATTGGGAGAGAAAAACAACAAACTACAACTTGAGCTTGGGAAAGGCAGATCAATTCTTGGATATTAGTTGCAGTCCAAACCTTCCTGTAAATAGGAGTAGCTTGAGGAGCCTTTACAGCCATCCCCTTCCTTTCTATGCCCCACTTTTCAGGCTTGGTGGAGGTCTCTAACCTGACAGCCACGAGAGTTTGGGCACCTCTCCCCAACCCTTTCCAGAGGAACTGCTTTTTTGTGGCACAATAGAAAAATTTTAGCCCAAATCCTTGCACTAGCCTTTGATCTTAGTAGGTCAATACTAAGCAGTGCTTGCCTGAGCCTGACATCTCTTCACATCCACGCAGGCAGCACTGGCACTGTGGCTGGTAACACGCACCAAAAATAAACTCTGAAAACCAAGCTGAGAGCACCTGTGCTCTCGCCTGTGCCTTTAATCTAGTGTTACTTACAGGCAAGGTGAGCCTGCATCACTGTGGAAATATTTGAGAGGGTTTCCTTAGCTATGCACCAGGAAATGTGGATAATAGCATTTTTGTTAATCTCCATTCCAAAAAAAAAAAAATAGTTGCAGGGTTCTGAAGTTTGGTGGTGGTTGTTTTTTCAAGCAAAGGTCCATCAGCACAGTTATGTAATGGATGGAGATTTGGCCTGGAGCGGCCACACACAATGCCCTGGGCCAGCAGGTGCTGGCCGACGGCTGCCTGCAGGGCGCTGGGTGCCTTTCTGGTGCTGTCATGACTCAGTTTCACTGGTATTCGAAAACCTGAAAGCTTTAGATAGTGCCCTAATGCATGGTGCTGCTCACCCTTGAACTTGGGGCTGGTCTCTGCGAAGTAGAAGGAGAGACTGGGCCTGTTCGGTGACACAGCCAGTAAACAGCACATGCACATGAAGAGATCCGTGTGGAAAAAATGTGTACATTGTATTTTGACGAATTCTAAATACTGTTTTATTGGGCTTTTAAAGAAGATGTAGCTTTTACAGAAGACTTTTAGCCTAGAGAGTTCTAATATAAAATATTAATTACTAAAAAAATATAATTCTACCACGTTTTTGTATGTTCCTGTCATAGTGAATATTAATGGATAACTCTAGTACTTAATATTTTCTTTTTGTTTAGTTTCCACCTTTAAGTTATACCAGCGTGCAAAGCATGTGTATAGTGAAGCTGCCAGAGTGCTGGAATTTAAGAAGATCTGCAACGAAGCACCTGCCAATGCAATCCAGCTGCTGGGAGAATTGATGAACCAGAGCCATATCAGCTGCAGGGAAATGTATGAATGCAGCTGTCCCGAACTGGATCGGCTGGTAGACATCTGCCTGTAAGTTCTGACCACAAGGAAGAGTAATCGCCTGTTGAGAATATTGTTTGAATTGATGAGAAAATATGACATTGTTGGCTATTGCAATTTTAAAATGAAAGTATTCTTGTCTCTTATTACAAAATTAATCTCCTGCAGGGACATTACATGGTCAATTGTTTCCCTGCTGCCATCTGTGTAAGACTTTCAGATGAAAGCTGCAGTTCATGGCTTTATTACAGACTTTGCTTTTGGACTGACTCATCATCACAAGTGTTACGTTAGACTGTTGGCTATTCTTTTTTGAAGTTACAGAAGAAGTCATAACTGGTTTTCTTAAAACATCATCTTAGTTGTTCTGCTTGAACTCTGTTACTTTTTGTGTATTTCTTAACCATTTCAGAACTGCCGCCATGGGAATTCCAGGGCGTAAGCAAGCTGTTCTACATTCTTAGGTTGCCTTGAAATCGTGATGGTATATTGTGAAATGCTATTGCATTTTTTTCAATTAAAAAAATCTGTTGTCTAGGGTATCAGATAGGTTGGACAGCATTTCACCACTGAAAAGCTGTGTGTGTTAACGGTTACAATGGCCAACGCACTGCTGCTCCTCTGCATTGGGTGCCTGGGCTTTCCCCACATTGTTCGGTCCCATTCTGCCCCAGCCTCATTCTTTTAGCTGGGTTCCTGAACTCAGTTTGGCCGCGGTAGATAAAACAAGCCCTCTCAACTCCAGAACACATGCCCTGAGTGTCATTTTGTCCCTTCTCCCTGTATTCCTCCCTAGTTTCATATCCCTTAGCCAGAATAAACTGAGTTTGAGAAATGGTGTGAAGTGAGCTGGAAAGCGCAGGCTGCGGTGTGTAGCAGGCTGTTATCTTCATAACTCTGCTACAAGTGGATGACGAGATCTGGTACAACCATGTGTTAATACAGAAAGTAAAACCGAATACTTAGAACTGACATTCGACATGGTATTTCTTCCATACCACAGGACCAGCATGAAAGGACGTACACATTTCAGTCCCTCTTAATTTCCATTTTTCTGGTACATGTAATCATGGGACAGACATCTTATGCTAACTTTGGTCTAAATTCAGTGCCTATAGAAGGATTTCAGTGGTTGGTGATCATTTTTAACAGTGGCTTGGGGGATAAACAGGAGCCCACACGAGCTTTCCCACTACTACTCTATCCCTACCTCTGCCCCAACCACCTTCTCGCAGCTGCTTCCCTCATTGACTTCATCATGGCTCCTGGTGATGCCACCTTCATACTTCTGCTCATCTGTTATGGTTCCTGCTTCTCCTTGGAGAAGGTTGTGCTTAGTCTGGGAAACTGTGCCCTAAGCCAGAGCGTTACTGCCCTGCCAGAAGGGAAATGGAGGGTGCTGTAAGTGTTTGCAGGCCTGAGCTCAAGGAATGTTGTTTCACTGTCTTTTAGAAGCAAATATCCCATTCTCTCTCTAGATCTGTCAGTCTTGAAGAAAACAGAAACTGTTTCAATTTGAAAATTAAAAAAAAAAAACAAAAACAAAACCCTCAACCACCAAAAAAAGAAAGTTACAAAAATATTTCTTTACAGGCAACTGGCTTTATAAATTTTTTTTAACTAAGGAATTAGTCCGGCTTATAATGAAAGTATGAATTTTACTAACATGCAATTTACCATATGCTTTCTTACTTCTATAGTCATGTGGGTTTTGTAAGTTGTAATACCCATTTACCAGGTTTGTAAATTGATAAAGTACGATACAGATGATTATTTAGGTTACTCTGATTTCTTTTGCTGGCGAGATGGAATGGCCTCTGAGCCAGAAAACTACAAACTTAAAAACTGAACAGAAGACCTTCACAGATTATTTTGCATATGGGATGCACATGCTGTTTTGTGATAAAACACAGAGAATCCCTGATAGCCATTGGACAGTCTGATAGTAATTTAGCAATACAATTTTTGTTCCTTCTCCCGGGAGCCAATCCAGTACGTACTCACAGGCTATGTTCAGTTTATTGTATCACGTAACGAGCGCATAACAGAATAAGCTACGACAGTCACTCAGCAGGGCAATTCCACCGTGGTTATCCCAGCTGCTCAACGGGAACTGCTGATCTGCGTGTGAGAAGGGAGTCCTGTCTCCAGAGTTTGTCTTCAGCTGACTGCGCTCTACTGAATTATCGAAAATCTTGGGCTACTAAGGCTTGATCTGGTGCAAGGTATCAACAGTGCCTGTTCTGTGACACCACTAACAGAGGGAAAGCCTTAAAACTTAACATCTGCATTATTTTTAGGTACAGTGACTACCCAATGTTGATGCCTCAGCCAGTGGCACCTGATGACTGAACTTTGCCAAAGTGACTAGCCATTTTATGTGTCTTCACTTCAGGTATCCAGCTTGAGTCACACTGATAGGGCCTGTTCTCAGAAACGCTGGGGGAAAACTACCCTGTTTCAAGGAGGGGAAAACAAGTGGGTATAAATGGCTAAAATCCGCATGACAGCGTGGAGTTACCTGTGCTATGTTTAAATAGACTAGCATGGATGCTAGCAACAGTCTGTTGCAGCACGAAGCTCAGCGCGGGGATGGAAATTCTCTGTTTCTCATTTGTGCTGAGCTCTGTGCTTTCACAGCTAGACAGCTGCTGCGCTCTCAGCTAGCTTGGGTATCGTGACACTGACTCGCAGGCAGTAGCACAGACACAACCACAGAACCCAAAGGAAAGGAGTACGCAGTTAGGATTTTACTAAATTAAATTAAAATTAATCAGAGCATTTCAGTTCCAGGGACCAAAATATAAATAGTGAGGGAAAAAAGTGATGTGTGTGCCCATGTTACATCAGATTTCTAACTTACCAGCAGAAGCGCCCACAGCTAGTATGATGGGCATAGCTAGGCACCACAGTGGAGTGTCATTCGTGTGAAACAATTTCTAATTGGTGTACTAAAATTATTTAATCTGGGGGTTTTATTACATTCATTGCACAGAAAGAAGTAAATTATTTCAGCCTTGTCCCATGAAGAAATGTATCTTTCTTCTGTAGAAGTTCTATATTCTTCAATGTTTTTCTGATTCTATGATTAGATTTCTGAAAGTGTATAGCTATTCTAGATGAATGCAGCTTAAGCCAGCCTCTAGTTTTTGGAAACTATTGGAAAAAAATCTTAACTTTTCTCAAGTTGTACATTAAAAAATGAAGGGACGTAAAATCACTAGTCACTCTAGGAAGGCTTGGCTGACATGATTATAGAAATGACCAGGAACTACATAAATTACATTCTTTACTTAACAACGATGTACAGCTGCCCTGTAACTTTAAAAAGCCTTTCCAAAAATACATTCCACAGAATTGCCCGAGTCTACTGCTGCTCTCTCCTTACAAGGTTTAAGCTGTGAAGAATAATCTGCATATCCAGATGTTTTCTGTTTTCCCTAGATCTTTATGTTTTACTGTACAACCTCTGCCAAGAAGGAAAGGGATCCATACTTGCTGTGGTTTGTAGTGCTGAAAACTGTAACCGCTAGTAGGTCAGTTGTTTTTTTCCTTTTTGCAAAGACAGAAGACTCGTACTTTCTCTAACCTATCTCGTGCTGTTAGTAGCAGTTTTACCTGTTAGTCTTTTAAAGGGGCACAGAGGATTCACTAAACAATTAAGGAACAAAAAATTGGATCCGAGCTCCTGAATGTTAGGTGCTTTTGAAAATCTCTCAGAATCATTGAGTGTTACAACAAACTTTTTTTTCTTTCTCTTGTTCTCCATCTTTTAGTAGTATAAATCTTGATAATTTTTGTGTTACCAGCCATGCACTTTACAGTTGACGATGGCTGAATCATCTCTGATCACTTTTAAAAGATACAGCTTTTATGTTACATCCAGGTACATTATGGGAGCTGAAACAACTCTGCATTTTATCAAGACTCTTACCATTGATGATTTTCTTAAAGCTGGAGTCATGGCACAATTTGAAAAATCAACAAAACAAAAAAACACCCAACAAAGAGAAGTTTGCGGCCCTTTCAGAGCCAGAAAGGCTTAAAGATGCTATTCAAATGCACACTGAGCCACCAAACAGAATAAGTATAATGCCCCTCACCCTTGATGTATTTAAGTCTCGTCATGTTAACGCCATGCTTTCTGAATAGCTGGTCCACAATTTTAAGTATTTGGAATTAACAATATTTCTCTGGTTTTTTCACCTCTTACAGCACAATTATTTTTAAAATGAGGTACTGTAATGTCTTACCTATTGCTTCCATGTACCAAACTACAGGACTTCCATTTTTATTCTTTCCTTTGCTGCAGTACTTATGTTTTTACTCTCATTTACACACCCTCCCCTCCTTCCTCATAAGATAATTCTCTTTTTATTTGGTGAACATTGGAACAAGATACATAAACCCTTCAAGCAGGAAAGGCCAGAACCCGGGACTGGGAGCTGGCTGGCCCCAGCACTGGACTATAGATACATTATCCTTCTTGTGAGCCCCATCTCTCCCTCTGTTATGTCCTCATGGCTGCAGCATAGCCCAGGCAGCACACAGGGTACTCTCCCTCCCGTAAAATCCACGTTGCCCGCTGTGTGGGTGAGCACTCCATCCACAAGATTGCCTGCTTGTACTCCTCTTCGAAAACGCATGATTTACGAAGCCAGTGCACAAGAAGAGAGCATCTGGCTGTGAATCCCACTTTACCAGAGGAGTCTAGCTTGGGACTGAACTGGTTAAGACTCAGAAAAGACAGTTTCAGACCTGTTCCAAAGTTAACTTTATTTTGTTTGATCTAGATACTTCCCATGCACCACATCTCCAGTAGATGCAGAATTAGGTACTCATTTCTGAATTCCTGTAACATCAGGAATCCAGTTTTCAGGTATTACAGCATAGCCCATCAAAATGCCAGGTTCCTCAGCATTAAGCCCCAAGTTTCTAATCACATCACCACATTTGAAACTGTTAGCCACAGTATTTTGAAACGCAGTGACTTCAGCTCTGAAACAGGCATATTTTCTGTCTACATTATGCTTTATTTCAGCTAAGTATTTTAAAATGACTCAGTAAAAATGAGGCATGAGCATGACCACAGAGAATTATGAAATCAGTAAAAGGTTCAGAACAATTCTGAAGGGATTTCAGTTGCCTACCAAAATAAAAGCCAGACACCATCTGAAATATGAAGTTTTGACTGAGGTAACAGGCCAAGTGAGTACAGACGGTTGATTTAGCAGACTCTGAAAAGTGGATTGGGCCTTATGAAGTCGATGGGAATTTCCCTATTGATTGCAGTTGAGACTGGATTGGATCCTGCTCATTTTAGGAAGTTGCTCCATGGACCAGCAAGGACAAAAATTGCATCAGAGAATGAGTGGCTTACAGGAATAATAAGTAAAATAAAACACTAACAGGAAATAAAGAACGAACATAAAATCGAGTCAATATGAAGGGTGGCACCACACAGACACACTGAAGAAAGTGTTTCTGTTCAAGACGAGATGTAAGCCTGTTTAGAATCGAACACATATGTAAGTACTGGCTTGAAATATGACCTAAACCTCTGGTAACCCAGCAGTATACCAGATTCATTTAACATAAAATGCACATATGAAAAATTACCACAGCCTACTCGGAACGAGCTGTCATTTTCCAGCGTTACTCACGTGGTGCTGTCTCTCCTCAAACACATTTTGGGACTGGCAAGTCTCTCCATGCATGGCTATTGGAAACATAGCAGAAGTATTTGTTTGCAAATCAGATTAGATCTCTCATGAGAAAAAGATTTCAAATGAGTTTTCTGAATCATCCTGTTCTGACTAGGTTAGAAAAGCCCCAAAGAAATGTTTTAGATGGTGTTTTCCTACTTTTTCTGAATCTAAGATCAGGAACACAGGTAAGCAAATTAATGAAAGTAATTCTACTAAATTCTGATGAGATGGTGTCTGAATCCTGCAGAGTCATGGCATGGGATTTGCCGTAGGACAGTTGTAGCAGGCCAGTATCTTGAGGCTGGGAATGGTTTATATTTTGGATGTCATTTATTTGTCATTGTTCTTTCTATTCACCCTCCTTATTAAGAGCATTTTTTTTCTTTTAGGGGCTAAATTCTTATTTTACCTCTACTGCTGTAACTCCCTCAAGTTCATGAGGTTCCTCTAAGGAGAGAGGCCAAACTCCGTCCGCTCAGCCTAAACAGATGTTCGAGTGCAATGACTCTGTATGACTTCAGAGTTTCTGAACTCTCCTTTTCTTGACTGGCACGCTCAGCAGTCCTGCAGAAGCCTGTGAATCTTCAGCATGTTTTAGATGTGTCTAGGAAGAATAGAGCTATTTGTCTTTGCCACATTAGAAAATGGCTTGCATGCCTGCATCCTGTGCAATTAGTTTATGAACCCTCTTTTGTTATTTTTGTCATGTATTTCTGTTTTCACTTCTGATGTCTTCTGAATGTTGCTAACACAATTCCTTTCTTCTCCTGCTTTCTTCATCTCAGCTGTGCTGTGATCCTTAAAACAGCTGATGCTGAAGCGTTATAAAAGAGGGTGACTTTTGGAACTGACAGAAGTTACTATATTGCAGTTTGAAGCATCAGCACTTTTTTTTTTGGTCCAAAATGGTAACTGCAAATTGCTGCAATGTTGCACACAGCCAAGTGAACTTCAGAAAAATTGGATGACATAGATGTGTTTTCAGTAAAGTATTCACTGGTTTTCTACAGGAATTTTATATATAAGTTACCTCTTTTTCATTTATTTGACATGATTTTTTCCCTATTATTTTGTTTTAGGCAATTTGGGGCCGTTGGGTCACGTCTGACTGGAGCTGGATGGGGCGGCTGCACTGTGTCAATGGTGCCTACTGACAAGCTGAACACTTTCCTAAAAAATGTAAAAAGAGCTTATTACCAAACCGACGTCCAAAGGTTAGCGTTGGAGAATAATAGTCTGTTTGCTACCAAACCTGGAAGAGGAGCTTTGGTTTTTGTTGAGGCCTAAAGAACGTAAAAATTTTAAAGAAACTATGTAGGGCATTTAGAACTGGCAGTACTTCCGATGCCGCAGTAAATGAATGCTTTTTCTGGTTGTTATTGTTATGAGCAGTTGCTATTATCAAAATACATTTCTGAAGAAGCGTTTAAAAGAAAACTCTTTGACTATAAAGGGGTTTTTCCCCATACTAAAAGTATCTTTCAGTATAAACATTGATTTACAGAAATGTATTGACAAGGGAAGCTGAAATTGAAATAAAGGTGGTACTTTGTTACGGTGAGTCCCTCCTCTTTTCTGTTCACTGTCATAAAAGTAAGACCAGGTGGAGCAACGAGCTATGTCGTGTGTCAGGGTAGGAACCTCACAATGGTTGCAGGGCTGTTCAGTGCTTATTCTCTTTGGGTGCTGGATAGTCTTTTGTTTAGAATGTCCTGTAAAAATGAAGGCTTAAACTGAAGCATTCAAAAAATTGGAAGGACCTTGCTGAACATGAGAAGTTTTATACTTTCCTCAGATATCATTAATTACAACAGTAATAATCCTAATATTGGAGGAGCACCTGCAGGCCAAGTAAAACATTAGGAATACATTATGTTAAGCAGGAAAACTTCCCTTCTAGCTATGTTTCTTACGTATCTTTGTGCAAGGGTGACATGTTCTGAAAGTTTCAACAAAAATGAATGCTGTCTGTGAGCTGTACAGTACAACTACATACTCCCCTAAGTGAATGAACAAGTAACAAAGCAAAGTTTGGTTTTGAGTTATCCAAACACCATAGTCTATTTGTTGAATCCTAGCTGTGCTTCTACAAGGTATAACGTTTGCATTTTTATGCAAAACTATTACAAAGGATTAAATAGAATTCACTGACCATGGAAAAAAGCAATTAAAATGATAAGGAATAATCAAGGAGATAATGACTGAGTTGTATGAAGCAGAAGTAAGTAGGTAAGACAAAGAGTACATGTCATTGACAAACTCATACCTTGCTCCCACTTCACACTCCTGACAGTCTCAAGGTTTAACTGCAGTGCACTGGCAGTACAGCATCTGCAGCTCGTAACCCGTCTCCTCCGTGGGAGAAACGATTGATTGCAGAAAGGTGACTGTACATCAAGGTACCCCAAAGATGTCCTAACCCAGCTTCCACGTGGAAGACACGGCTCCTGTGCCCGCTCTCTCTCACGGCACACAAACTTCCGCTTCCCTGATAGCTACCGTGAAGGCTCAGGAGGAGCTTGGCAAATGCGATAACCCTTGCAGCCGTAAGAGGCACAGCAAGATTTGTCCCTCTGCACATCTTGTGATGCTAAGCACAAGTTAACGTCCAGAAGTCTGCATCAAATTAGAGATCTCTCAGGAGAGATCCTCTGTATGTTACCCGATCTAATTCAGGCCAAAACCAAATTCTTAGAGGCTACTAATTCTGTGAGAGGACTCTGCCAAATTTGAACACATCAGGTGAACAACAGCCAACTCAAACTGCCAGATCTTTTCAGGAACCCAGAAGGGACATATAATGGTAATACTATCACTAGAGAAGATTTCTGTTTTCTGACAACCAGGAAAAGTGGAACAGAGAGTACTGTGGATCAAGCAAATCAAGTACTCGAGAGAAGAAAAAGGTGGGATCTGGGCATGATGGGGGGAGATGAAAAGACAGGATTTGGAGGGAGGACGGTTAAAAGGATGCGTTTGAGAAGGGGGAAGCAAGGGTTATCCTTATGGGAGACTTAAGAACAAGAAGCAGAATTATAGAAAGGTTTAGTCTCAAAACATTCACTATCACTAGCTTTGGAAATTGAATATCGTGTAACCCATTTGTAGTGTACAGCAGATATGCTGTGCGTTCAACCAAACCTGGAAATGTAGGACTCCAAAAGTCAAACAACAGTATGTAAACATCTTCAAGGATCTCCAAGATAACCTTAGAGATTTTAAAGAAAATATTGCCATGGCTTTGTTACCAACTGCCCTATTAAATACAATCCCCAGTTTAATTGAGTGAGTTCCTGTTTCTTATCCTGTCATAAAACTGGAGTACAACACAGTCCATGCCAGCCCTTTCATTAATATGTTTGCATTGATCTTCAGCTCGATTCATGGAAGCACAAATCAGTGTACGAGCAGAATAAAGATACATTAGTTGGGGTTTTTTTTCCTCCCTTTTCTTTTTAAGTCAGCATGGGACACAGTCATGGAATCTTACCAAAACACATGCAGGCAAGTTTTTAGGCTGCAGTACATTTCAAAATTTTTCTGTCAATGAATCTTGTAAATGATATTCTCATAAACAACGAAAAGGAAAACAGAAAACTAGCACAGTACAAAAGAATAAAATCGAATGTTCTAAACTTCTATTTAATTTTTTTCCTTTCCTTTTTTATTGCTTCAATGTCTTTCGCACAGTTTTGCTGAAATCTGCAGGTAAAACTGGAACATAACTTTCACTGAAAGACCTATGGTATTCAAATTATATACATAAAAATGGCACTCAGGCATTTTTATTTACCTACTACCAATAGAAAGTAAATGTTTCTCTTTAACCAAACAAATAAATTGAATGGATCTGGTTTGGGGGGGGGTGTGTGTGTGTTTGCTTTTTAAACCTTTGAAGACATTTTTCTACATCATGGTAAAAAGCCCCATTTGAGGATGAGAATGCTATGTGGTAAGTAAACAGCAAGTATATTAGTAGTATTTCTGACAACAAAGCAAGATGATTTTGGTTTGGATGAAGAATTCTGTGTATAAAGCAGTGACTCCTAAGCGTATTTCTTAAGCAAGGCTTTCCAGACCTGTATTTCTAATAGCTTTTCCTGATTATGTTTTCCAGATCTCTTCTGTAGCTAAAATAACGCTCATCAGTGTATATATATGTATATATACACACACATATGTATATTTGGAAAACTAACAAACGTCAGCATACATGCAGAGGTGATACATCCTGTCAGCACGAGCTATGATTATCAGTGGAGTGTGATTTTTCCTTATTATAATGTCTGACTGTAGTTAATTCAATCACGAGTTTAGTCTCACTGTGCAGTAGATGGGTTTTAAACCTTCGCAAGAAGGATTTGGAATGGAGACGCTGTTAGACATCCAAGGGCAGCAACACTGCCGGGTGCCATATTAGTGCTCTGTATTCGCTTAGTCCCATCGACGTGTACGCCTTCATCACTGTGTTCACTGCCTGTGTCTCTCGCAGGTAGGAACATGCTCACGCTCCGAAGTAGAATGTGAGTAATTTTGCCATTCGCTTGGTGGGAGGGGATTGTGACTGTATACGTGACATTTGCCCTTTTGGACAGAGCACAGAGACACGTACACGTGGCACCCTGATAGTCAGCAATTGTGCACGTAACATCTTCGGGAAGATTGGTTTCTAGTTAATATGATCTGAATGCCAACTTTTATTTTAGTAACTGCTGTGTACTTAGCATAATCCTTCTGACATTCCTCTCCGAGTCCGTGTGTCTAATAACATCTTGATGTGTTGGAGCAACTGCCGTGCTACAGTTTCAGTCAAACGAAAGATTTGTATTTTCAGCTAACTGCGAAGTTTATTTGTGTACTAAATCCCAGTCAGCTATAGTTAGGCAAAGATACACCCAGCACAACATCCACAAGAGCTATCTTGTTCTAAAAAAATATACCTTGCAAATCATAGCTGTCACGGGCAGGATTAAGGTAGTGCTTTCTGATTCTTGTCATTATGTGCTGCATCAAGAAAAATGAACTCTATGTTATAGTGCAAAGTAACGAATAGCATGAAAACCAGATGGTAAGGCTCGGCATCACGAAGCCTAGGAATCATGCAGCATATTAAATTATATTTTAAATGCTAATTTTGAGGTGGAAGGCTAGGTATTGACAAGAGACTAGTTCACAACGTGGAAAGGAGTACAATGGGGAATGTAAAATTGTAACTGAAAACAGCTTACTGTGATATGGCCTTGTTTGACAGATTTTCCCAGCACACACAGGGCTGGGCAGGGAAAGTGCTGCCAAGCAGTACTGCTGTCACATCTGTCCCACCTCAGCTCTTCAGTTTAGCCAGCTTTTGCAGCGAATGCTCTTCTGAGATTCAATATCCCATACAATAGAGACAAAAGAATTCTGTTCTTGATCTTGTCTCTTACACTCTGCCCTCTGGTTTTGGACTTGTGTCAAAAGAAATAAACTACACGATTCTGCAAGGTACCACATCACAGCCTCCGATAACGACACCATGTTGACTAGGAGACAGAACGTGCCGTGGTGCTGATGGGGGATAGCACCAAACCCCCTCCGTCATCTCTCGTACGTCAGTGGGACTGCAATACTCCATCTAACTAAGGCCGTAGGACCAAGTTCTAACTCATGTATTTGCAACTGCTGTTTCCTGGGCAGATTACTTTTTTTCCCCTCAGGTCAGCTATAATTGTTTTACCAGTAAAATCTGTAGATGAACGTTTTCCAAAGCCCCTGAAGTCTCTGCAGATTTGGTCACTGATTTCAGCAGAAGGTGGGTTTACCCCAGCCCATACTCCCTAGCAAATGGTTCGCTTGGTAGGATAACGTGTAGTGAGAGTTTGCACATAAAACTGACGTGCCCAGAGTCTCACATGTAGTTAAGGCACTCATGCCAAATTCATCATATGTGGAAGACTTACTAATGGAAAATCTGCAGAGGAGTAAAAAAATACTGGAGCTAATCAGATGAGAAGATGCTACGGAGCTTTCAGGATTAATTGACCAATACAACATTTGAGATTGATTTCCAGCAGCAGCGGTTCCTGCAGAAGCCACAAACTGGATGAGGATTTATACAAAAGCATTTGTATATTTATTGGATTTTAAGTCTAATGCATTTAGAGAATTGCTATTGTCTCCTAAGCGCTACTTTGTGGCCAAAATTACACGTTAATATTAAAAGGAAAAAAAAAGAAAATCCTTTCCCCAGGACAGCACGCCTTTCTGCACTTGGCACATGAGGCTCAAATAACTCAATAAGGATTAGATGTACTTCGAACTGAAACACACTAATGCCCAGGCAGCTGTCTTCTTTCCAGACAAGCTGTGTGCAATTTGGGGTGGGAATAAAAATATGTTCAATTAGCCAATGATCAAGCCAGATGTGTGTGTGGGTTTTTTTAAATCCAAATTCATTTTTCAAGGGACGCTGAAGCAGGTTCATATGAAACTCTTACAGCAGTTCCTAAGGATTATTATTAAAGGCCTTATTTTTTGCTAGATTTCATAGAATGGAGAGTTTTATTTGTATTCTAC